TACCATAAAAATTAGAGTTTTTACCTTTTTGTTGGATACAGCAGATCATTAGAATTAAAACCCATAATGGTATCATGGGCCCGGTACCAAACCCCATCTTGAATGGAGCTTGGTGCCAATGTGTGCGGCCAGCTTCTGGCCAGTAGAACTAACTCATCTGAACTCTTAAACTCTTATATAGTGGAAGATTTGGGCTATTTTCCTATCTTGTTTGACAGGGTCTAAAAAGGTGGTGCTCTCAGAGGTAAATAGAGGATGCTTTTCCAGTTCCTTGGGGACTAGCTAAGAATGTTTACCTTTGGCGAGGTGTATTGTTTTTTGTCAAAGTTCCATCTAGTAAGGGAAACCACAAATGAAAACCAACATGTAAGAATCTTTCTTTGGCAAAAGACCATTGAAGATCCTGGAAAAAAAAAAAAATCTCAAGGATCTTTTGAGTCACGACATGGTTTTGTGGATGACAGAGAGACCATTATTTAAGGTTCTGGATATTGTTAAGTGTTATTGTTAAGTATTGATCAAATGGGGAATACAGAAAAGGATTAGGATTCTGTAATCCTGAGACAATGTGTCAGCACTGGCAGTGCTTGCTTGTACAGGTACTCAGGACTGATGAAGGTTAGCTGAACTAGCCAAGTCTTTTGATTTCTCCCAATGCATCACAGACAAAGGCACTGAGCAAGGATCACAATAGAAACTCCATGCTGCAGTAGCCATTCTGCTCATCCGTGCAGACTGGTGTCACTATTGTGGCACTGAAAAAATTGTTTGATTGGATAGTGAGAATCTAAGGAGTAAGTAGCAGAGAGTTGCTGGGAAAGAGGCCTGGGCCATAACCTGCTCTGTGCATAAAAAAGTAGTTCTACATGATAATACAAAGCAAAGTTAACAGACAAGCAACCTCCCCCCCAACAATCTGATAATAAAGCTATCTGAGAATAAATGTGTTTGATTAAATAGGCAGGCACATATCTGCTCTAAAACTTCTGCAGACTTCTTTTCTCTGGTTTATTTTCAGCTGGCGGTAAAATTATGTTCTTATCTGGAAATCCATTTCTAGAATGGTGCTTCCATCCCACTTCTACTCTTCCCTTGCCCTTCAATATTTTATATACTTAATTTTTTTTCTTAGAATATTGTTTCAGAAACAACATGTAACATTGGGCAATGTTGAGCTTCAGGGTTTAGTGAGCATGATCTAGACAACAGATTTCCTGATGTTTCTTGAACAATACTACCCAAAGATACCAGCTGTGAAAGTCTACACCAGTATAACATATAACATTGCTTTTATGCTGTCTTTCTCAGTATCGACTCCTCCAGATAGGAAGTACTACAGATTCCATTGCCCCCAATTAGGATCTATTATAATGGCTATGCAATAGGAATCTTGGTTCGATGTATATATGAGAGGCTCAAGACTGGCAAAGCCTGAATTATGATGATCAAACAGATTGATATGCCTTAAAAAATGTATCCCTTAATCCGATGTTTATATTTTTTGAAATAATAGCTTCTCCAAATCCTTTTAGGGAAGTAAAAATTCCCAACAGCCATTCAACTGCAACTGTATCATGCCATTGGTCTTCTTGACCATGACATCAATGTTGTCAGTCAGGGTATCATTTGAAGTTAATTCATGATTTTTAAAAGTTCAGTTTTGGTTTGGATAACATTTCTGGCTGAAAAAAAAGGACGATAGAAAAATAAAATAATACAGAACGGTGTACAATGAGGTATTGTAGAACCAACAAGAGATTTTGGCAAATCCCAGTAAGAAACCCTGTGTGTTCTAGATCGTACCCATCATGAAATTGGAAAAGGCCAATTATATCCATATTGCTCCATGTACTTGTCAGAAGGATCAAATGAACATAATAATCAGGGCCCACAGCATTTGCATCCTCTGGTGTTGAATATCTTTGTTCTGACAACATGGATGTTTACTGCTTATTCAAAAAGGATGTTGCTGACAGAAAGACAGGGAAAATGCTTATTATTTGCAAGGTATCAGTCCAGTGTCAAACCTGTATGTTTTTGGATAATTTTACTATGTAAAACAGACATAGTGTGGTCCTGATCTCTATGTGGGTTGCTGAAGAAATGGATGAATGGCAAAATTCCCCTTCATACTTTCCTAATCCTATGATTAAGAATTATTTTGTAGGAGAATCTCATAGGGAAATAAATAAAAGTTGCTTGAAGAGCTGTTTTTCCCCCACTGAGAGCCCTAGAACATGATGGCTTTTTTCAACAATGTACCTTTATTTAGATTAAATAACTATAATTGCAGAGTACAATCTTTAAGAAGGACTTTACAGGGACACAGGAGGGACAATGAAAAACCTTTTAGCAAAGCTGAAATCTATCCCAGTGGTTCCTTAAATACTTTGAAACCCCTTGGGTACAAGGCCTAATATTGATTAGGATAATTGTATGTAACTGTTTTGTTTTAAAATAAGCCCTTTTATGGCATTTTGGATATAGAGCCTTCTGAACACAAAACATATCATAGCCATGATGGTCTCTCCAAACCCACCCCCACCCCTATTGGATAATAAATTAAGACCATCTGAAATGACATAAAAGAGTGTAGAAAAAATTGAATTTCATTAGGCAAAAAGTTACAAAAGGCAAGGAATGGGGAAGGAGCTCAAAGAAGCTTTCCCAAGTGGTATAGAAAATTTGAACTATATAGTCCTAATAAAAGTGTGTGGAGGTTATATTGTTTGTTTCAGATGATATAGGAAGCCACTGAACCTCCACCGAAGAGCTTAATATCCAACCAGGTTTATTAGGAAAAGATACATACTTGAGATACCCTAGTCCTAAATTATTCATGACTTAAAATTAAAACTTAAAACTTCATTTAAGACCAGAAACAGAAAGTGTCTGAGGAAATCTAGCTCAAGTTGTAAAAACTCTGAGTGTCATTCCAGACCATCTTGAAGGGTGAACCCATGTACAATACATTACATTAGATCAGTGTTTCTCAAACTTGGCAACTTTAAGATGTGTGGACTTCAACTCCCAGAATCCCTCAG